CCCAAAACCCCAAAACCCCAAAACCCCAAAACCCCAATGCATTCAATTTAAAGAAAATAAGCAAAAATATTATTGAATAAAAATCAAAATATACTGAGTATGCATGCATTAAGGTTAATATATAATGACCTAATGCAGCTTACTGCTAGTCTTGTTATAATGAAAAATTGAAAAGTTATCCTTTTGATAACTCAGAGTCTGTATAATCACGACTTTTGCCGTTCTATACAATTCATATCATTTACTCAACTTACTTTGAGTTAGGTTGGAATTTCTTTCATTAGACTTTTTTAAGAGTACTGGTCTACTTCTACACCTCAACAAAAGACTTGATCTAATTTACAGAGCTTATCCTAATTTGCTGATTTTTCAGCAAAGCATTGTTACTGCTGCTATTATTGCTGCTTGAATTATGCGTTTTAGTGTTTAAATTGCTATTTACTCCATTAGTATTGGGTAATGTCCTCATAATCACACTGTAGTTAATTTCTGCATCTCTATTTGATGGGTTTAGTGTGTGATGTGGCTTGTTTATTCCAGTAGTGTGGCTTGCTCCTGTCAAGAACGTATTAATCTAGTTAAGACTCTGATGAGTATGAATCTAAATGGGAATCGACTTAGTTGAATAGTTAATGGACTATTTAGAGCTTTTATGTGAAATATCTGCTTCCTTATTATGCTAAAACTCAATATTTGTGTTGTTTATGCTGAAGTCTTCCACCTTTTTAAGTCCTCTTGCTGATTAAGAATAATCTTAGACAGATTTGTTAGACTTGTGATGATCCGATATCATATTCACAGCTCTTGGCGAGTTTCTCACCTTTGTATGATTCAGAGTATGATTGATTGTCGAATTGGCACTTGCCATATTGCTCTTAGATAAGCTCTGTTTTTCTGATGAGGGGGTAGCCCTATTCATAAAGAACTTATTTTGAATCTCCTTCACTCTTTCGTTAGCCAATTTCTTTACGAGCTCATGATCATTTCTAATGCACATGGCATCACTTGGAATATCTTATAGTGAATGCTTTGCTTTTTAGTTTCCTTTGTTTGTTTAAAGAGGAGGGTTCTTCTTTGGTATCACTTTTGATTAACTTGAAAATTAGAAGCTAGTCTTTGACCTAGGGATAGAGCCCTAAATTGATCCATTATTACTATTGCCTGAGTACTGGCTGACATTATTTGTTGATTTCTTTGGATTGAATATTTTATTAATGGAATACTTGCTTGACTTTAAAGCTGTTGCCGTTCCAGATCCACCAGATGTCTAAGAATTTTTCCGAGCTGAAATCATCCTCTCACTTTCATTTCCAGACGCACCAGTTTATATTTTTTAAGTTAACTTCCTCTCCTTTGCGAGGTTTGAGGATGGTGATTGTAATCTCTTATGATTCTTATCCATGATTTTGACCATCGGTGGCTTCTTACTGGTTGTCTTGTTGTTGTAGTTTGATTTTGAATTCAAACTTTAGACTGATTAATCAAAGTTAAATCTAGATGGGTCCCTTAGTTCACTCGTAGGAGTCATATTCTAATTTATAATGCCTGATTAGTTTGTCTATAATTTAGCTTTCTCAATGTTGTTGTTTGAATGGCCGCTAACATTCTTGCTTGTTGCATTCGTCGTCTAACCGTTACTCAAAATCTATGCTTGAATATCTGAGTGAGATTATAGATTATAGGGGCTTTGTGAACGAATAGGCATGTGAAAATTTTTATAGCTTATGTCATCATCCTATTCATTTATGTTCTCAATCTCCTTTATTGAGTAATGATGAGCTTGACTGATAAGATTATTCATGTTCTCTCCAAAAGCTTTCTTTGGTTTTTTCTCAGTCAGATTAAGCTGAGTTTTGCCTTTCAACACATTGAAGGATTCATAAATTTTATCATTTTAGGTGACATTTTCTCTGTATGACTCAAGCGGCGCTTAAACATTAGTGAGATCAATTTAATAATCACTCAATATAGTTGGCTTGCTTTCATCAGTATGCGTTCCAATTGTCACATTATTGACTTGCTATGTGAAGTTCTGCTGCATTTTGGATTGATTATGCTGAGATAGATATGACTGTAAGGTATTTACCTGGCCATTGTTAAAGCCTAACTGAAAGCTTTTGGTAGTTTTAGTCTGGTTTAGCATCTGCTATTGCAATTTTTCAACTCCACTTTTATTGCTGAAAGGACTCTGACTGCTTCTTACAGCATTCTTGCTTTACTATCTGGTCTAGGTTTTGTTTTGATTAGGAGTACCAATACTCTGCTTCCTCTATCTCTCACTAAGAACATTTCCAATCACTTCATTGTACTTCCTCTTTAATATAGTGTTATAGGCAAATCTAGATCCTTTGAAGAATTGCATACCCTCTTGGCCGGGACCCACACTAGTATTACTAGACACTGAGTTTTTATGTTTTCCAATAAAATTGTGAGGATAATTATGATTACTTCCCTTGGCACTTCTAAAGGTAGACTTTTATCTTACTTACTCAGTTGAGGTCTTTTTAGGCTCTTATTATTACTGCTATTTAGTTGGGTTTGTTACTCCAAATGAACTTAAATGAGAGTTGGGTGAGAGCACATTAGGAGAAAACACTCTACTTCTTTTCTAGGGATCCATGTAATAATGAGTTTCCTGGTTTTGATTGTGAACTTAGAAGGGGAAAACTCCTTTTTATAGTACAAATGAAGATTAATTGGAGTTTGTACCAGGATCAGCCACAGGTGTATTTTTGAGATTCAGATTTTTCATATTATTCTAAAGTTTACTTCTGCTTGTTGGACTCATTTACTACAAATGAGTCTGCTATTTACTGCTGGTCTATGCATCTTTGGTATTTGGAGTTGGCTTTACATAAACGAATTTCGAATACATGTTCTTAATCTATTCATCATACTTTCTTTTCATCTTCTTGGTTGGAGTCATTGAAAAACATCTCGTGATATTGCTTTGCTTCTTATCGCTATTTTGTAAATTACTCTCTCTGCGCGAATCTACATTTTGCTTTTTAGAAGTCTGAGATATAATTTTCTCCTTTTGCTTTTTGTAGTTTATACCCTTTCTATCTTAGAGATTGTCAATCTTAATGTGAAGATAGTTACTGATTGGCCCATCATAGGAAGTGTATTCATCGCCTTCATGTTGGCCAGCCTTTTGCAAAATGTTTTTATAGGTCGAATATGAATATATCTCTTCATTCTGGTGAAACATTGTCTTAGAATTCATTGATGAGTACTTATCATCACTCCTATGATAGTCTGTATAGTCATTATCATCTTCCTCTCCCTCATCATATATCTTATCGTTTTCATCCTCTTCAAGTTTAGGTGTCTAATCCATATCATCATTTAAACCAGGGTATCTGGCTTTTCCACTGCCATGCTTTTATCTTAGTCCTTTTTTAGTTGTTGTTTGAGTTACATGATTACTATTTGCCTTGACTTTTTACCTCAGTTGTATAGTTATTTTGTTTTATTTTTAATTAGCTGCAGGCTTCTTCACTACAGATTCTTATTTTTTAAACTCAAAATTTTAGAAAGTAGGACTATTGGTAGCATCCTTCTACTTTTTCTAACCTCCCTGATTATTAGTCTAGAAGGAATGTAATGAGCTTTCAAAATTCTTGTTGTTATCGTTAGATATCATAAACGAATTAGCAATGTTATTATTCATTTGCTTGTGAAGCTCAATCATGGAAGGACTGTACAGACCTGCATCAAATCCAGGAGTTATCATACCGAATTGACTAGGTGTAATACCTGATACTGAATCAATTACATCTTCAGAAGGAGGAATTTCATATTGCTATTATTATATTTACTGCTGGTAGCGTTGAAAATTTGGGACAGTCATAGATTTAGACCTGATTTTATTTGTCTGAATTTTCTTATATTTATTGTTGTAAGGGGACATTATATCAAAGTTAGCTGAGCATAGGTCTTTTGACATCTTTTCTTTAGAATTTACACTGCTTTAATCCTCATCAGAAATGTTCAAGGAAAGCCGCGGCTCCATCCCGATATATTCTGGATCAAAATTCATAACCTTTAGGCTGTTCTCCTGAATGCCCTACTGCAGAAGTAAGAAGTTCTATGGACACTTAACCTCTCTTTTTAATAAGCTTTGCCAATCTATCCCCTGGCAAAACTCATGCCTCTTAAGATCTTCAACACCACTTTTATGGCCTAATCTTTTTGAAGGATCTTTGCATAATAGTCCTTTAAGTATCTTAATACTCTCATCTGAAAGATAAGCAGGATAAGTGACTTCCTAGTTAACTATATTGTTGTACATCTCATCCCTATCACTCGAGTAGTTAGGTGGAAGTCCAGTAAGCATCTCGTATAGTAAAGCACCTAGAGAATAAAAGTCGACCATTCTAGTATGAAACTCTTGGCTCAACATTTCAGGAGACATATACTCAGGGGAACCACAGAATGATGAAGTCCTGGAGCGTTTTTTAAAGTCATCCTTGGACAATCCAAAATCTGTGATTCGAATGTTGCCCTCTAAGTCGAGCAAAATATTTTCTGGCTTAAGATCCCGATACATGATGTTATTCGTGTGGAGATACTCAATACCTAGTAAGATCTAGGAAAAGTAGAATTTAGCTACCGACTCCGAAAATCTGCGACACTTTTATAACAGAAAAAACAACTCACCTCCTGGACAAAATTCCAAAACCAGATGTAAATAGTTTTTCTAAATGAAGAAGTTATTTTAAAGCTAATATTTACCGAGACAAAAGCTCCATACATTTGAATTATGAAGGGATGTTTAACGGACTCCAGAATTCTACGCTCAGTCATAATCTACTCTACCTTGTTATCCTGCTTAATCTTATCTTTTCTAAGAACCTTCATGGCATACATTTGGCCATTAATTTTGTTCCTTACTTAGAAAACCTTTGAAAAACCTCCCTTGCCTATAACTTTTTCGATAATATAGTTATCTAGGCAGTCAACCATGTGATTGTTCCTTTACCTTAAGATCAGCTGTTATATTTCTTTGTTTTAGATTTAAACAGCTTCATATTACTCAGTGAACAACAGATCTTTCAATGGTTTTTCAACCTAAGACAAAAAGTAGTCCAATGAAAGAAACTTTCCATCTTGAGATCTTATAGCAATAGTCGTAAGATTGTTGGATCTATTTTAAGGAGTTGTTGCTGAATCCTAAACTCCAATATTTTCAGTCTTTCTGATAAATTCGCTCAACAACCATCCTGTAGTATTACAATCATTCTCATCCCACTAAATTATCTGAATTTTTTCTTTGTGAGGACCGTAAAGTATCTCAACTTTCCTTATATTCATGGTTTTTTCATTAGTCTCCTCGTTTAAATTATCGTTACCCTCAGTTTCCTCTGCTTATATGTCATTAAGTGAGAAATTATCTAGGTGTTATTAAAGCCTTGATTCTTGAATATTTTTATTCTTCAACTGAACGAATAATTTGTTCTCAGGCAACTTATTGGCTGAACTCATTTAGCTGTTCTGCTTGGGCTTATCAACGACCTTTAGTTTCTTTACCTGTTACTTAATAGCATCTATAAATATTGACATATTAGGATTTTTCCTAAGTGAAATAAAACTTGAATTAAGATTTTAATAATATACTTATTCTGCTGTTTGCTTTAATCTTACCTTAATTTACAACAACTGTAGATTTGGAATGCTCTTTATTGATTGGAGATCTCTCAAGAGCAATGGACTTAGGCTCATCTGTTAGTGTCTTAATGCTGGATTTATTGGCGAGTGGTACTGTGTTCTGACTACTTTGATCTAAGGTCGTCACTGTTTAACCCATTATTTAATGTGACTAACTATCTCAAAATATATTTTTATTAATAGAATAATTTTTCATTTAGGCCAGCCACCACTCACTCTCCGATTTATTTTTTCATTTCAATTTTACTTGAATAATCTTCTATCGGGGTTTTGGGGTTTTGGGGTTTTGGGGTTTTGGGG